TTCAATAGCATACTTTGCTTTCCTACCGACCATTCTTGTGTAAATGAGAAGGCTTTAAACACAACCAAAGTGAGCAAAGTGAAGTCAAATGATTGTGGTATTTATGTTAAGCAAACATGCATATCTACTCGATAACTTTCTTTCATGTGCGTGTTTCTCGCAATTTTGACCATTATTTGTTACAGATGCATTCATATTTGAACACTCTTGTACTCGGACAATGGACAATTTCGTTACTCCAATATCCCTCCACAGAAAGAGGAAGCCATTATTTGTACCACGCACGAGTAATACGGGTTTTGCAGCAAAGTTCTTATTTTACTTACATTTGCTTATTTTTTTGTTTCCGGCACTTTTGGTGAGGATATCTTCGTTATTTGAAACATCCCCTTTGTAGTTATGTGTTGCGCTATATACTATGTGTTTCCAATTATCAACTATAGTTTCTAATTAGTTTTTTCTATCTGAAAAACGTAATAAGTATGACGCTCACGGCAGGACCAGGAATTAATTGAAGTGTCTCTGTGTTGATCAGTACGCACCATCGACTGCTAATTTCATGGGGAGTATCAAGTTTACACTGTGAATAATCTTCTAACTTTTCAATGTTGCCAACGTAAAAATGCAAAAATATTTCTGATGTTGCTGACACTTATTTCAATAGCGCATCTTGAATATTATCTGAACTTGTATGTTTAAATCCAATGTCACTAGAACCTCTACCTGCACTTGTATTGTAAATAGCTAGTTTCATTTATTTTAGAATCTCTACCGGATTTCAGGAAAAACATTAGACGATTTTGTCAAAAGAGAATATTTTTAACTGCATGGCAGTTCTATGTATGATAAATCAATAAATTCAGCCATAACATACTTCTAGCTGCACAAAACGATAGATAATAAAAACGAGGACAATTATCTTATAACCGTGACCTGATGTTCATCTTAAAATTATCATCCATGTGACAGATAAAAAGTCATCTTGTAATAGTAACGCATGCGCTGTTAAATGGTGTGTCCAAATCGTAATGGCGGAGTTAAGCCCTCGATACAATGATATAAACTTTACGTAAATATTTGAGAAAATAACGGTAAATATTGAATTTTTATTAGATGATATTTTAGCAAATTATATAGCTTGTTAAACCATTGACCATTTTGATTGACAACATTTTAAAATGGCAGTAAAATTTTGATCGTCGAAAACGAAAGTAGGAGTTAAGCCCTGGATTAAATGATATAAACTTTACGGAATATATTTGGGAAAATTACGGTAAATATTGAATATTTAAATGGATGATATTTTGTTATCAAATTATATGCCTTTTGTGTGAAGAAAATGCCACAAAACGGACTCAAACGGACTCAAAACAGAAAGATTTTACAAACTCTTAACGCGGGACGATGCTAAATATTAAAACAAACCTTTACTTAAATATTTATTGAGATTTTGCATCAAAACAAGGAATCTGCGATAAGAACTTAACTTGAGTAATAAAGAAGATGAAGAGATCATTTTCAATGGCTGTTACATCTTTTTGAAAATTCAGGCGTCCATATTGCAGAGTTGCATTCAATGTGGGATCTGACATGTGATTTGAAAAGTTTTCTTTATTCATATTGCCCTATGATCATATTGCCATATGATGCGTTTTCAAAACTTATTAGGGCCTCGTTACACGCATATCCACAATATAGGTAAAAATATTTAACAGGTCCTAGCAAGGTTCCTAGTAACCTTATTAATTTATCTACTTATCTTATTACTAAAGATTACACTCGGTTATTTTAGTCTTTCATAAAAATGTCACATGGAACATTTTACCTATTGTGCAAAGTTTTGCTGTTTTAGCCTTTTTATTGAAGATAATTTGTCATTTCCTTGACTAGTGTTTAAATGAGCGATGCTAGTTTGCGTGGACGGTAGCTTGCACTTACTAGTACATTCCATGAACAGGCTCAATCAGACTGAACCTGCAACATTTTCAATTTTTTCGTTTTGAGATTTCATTAGGGAGTCTCTATTTTAATACATGCAATGTTGTAATATGGGTCTATTTATTACTATGTAAACAGAGCGTGCCCTTGTAGTATATAATTATTACAGACACGTGTTGCTAGTTCTATTGTTTGATGACCACTGATTGTTCAAGGTATATATGAGTGGCGAGAAAATAATGGACATGCGCATTTCAGTACTAGATAAAAAATGTGCAATATACAACAAATAATACTTGTTATTTCTGTAACTTACCAATAAAAAGTTATATTATTTGAGGCTGAAACACAAACAATTGGTGCTACAAAAGCATGCAGATAGATCTAGTTAACCCATTACAATATATACACGCGTTTTTATGCAATTTCACCCGATTTTAGTGAAAAATTACCCTTTTCAAGCCTTGAACACTTGTTTTCGTTTGAAAATCTTTTTTATTGAGATGTCTCCTCGTTGCCATGGTAACAGGAAATTTAAGAGTGAGCATGCCGTTACAAAGGCTACATATGGTCCAGTCAATATTTGTGCCAAGTTTGATTAGTATTAAAGCATTTTGTATAGTTTTAAAGCAATCTTAACTTGAAAAAGGAGGCTTTTCAATGAAAAAAGCCATTTTTCACAAACAGCTCATGAATGCAGTACTAAGTCCAACTAATTGTACTGCGCAACGAGATATTTTGCTACTTTAATTGTGTCTGGGTAATATCTCGCCTCTAAAAGAGAGATTCTGACCCAGATCGAAAATATATCAGAATCTAGCTTTGGCACGTCAATATATTTTGACTAGAACGCGGTGTATTATGTGTTAAGTTGAAATTATATGTATTGTATCATATTTTCATTAGATTTATTTTATACCAACTTACATTTGTAACATACATGTATATCTTGTATTTTTTAATCAAAGCAATTAAATGCTGAAACCATTATCATACTTCATTTTATTGCATTAAGAACACATATAGGTGGTTACGAAAACGCTATGTCAAGTATACGACACATTTTTGCTCAAAATACAATGTAAAAAAATCAAAACAAAATCTATTATTTTTAAATGCTTTTCTTTGGTAGGTGAAGGACAATATTAAGTGTTGTTAGGCCTTTATATACTTCGTATCCTTTAAATTTTGTAGCCGTTATGTTACATATTTTATACTGAAACGAAATGATTACTTCATGCAACAGAAAATCAAATAAATAATGTGCCAACACAAATTACAAAAAAATAAACAATTAAAAACGAAAGTAGATTGAGGAAAAACTGGGGGAATTCCCACATTACAGTCGACTTTTAGTCTGGTATAGTCTGTCCCACCAAATTTGAATATCCCATTTTTTATTAAATATAATAGTAAAATCATTTAAATTAATGTCATATTAACCCGGACGTCTATATCTCATAGGCCAACTTTACAGGAATAATGATCAACATCACTAAATTACAGGAATAATGATCAACATCACTGTGAAGCTATGCACCTGAGACTTTGCATGTGGATTTTTTACAGTATTTTTAGAGTTATTGTCCTTGACTTACAGAAGTATAAATTTGCAATTTTCAACTTGTTCATGCATACATGTAGCTCAAACAAAAAGTATTTGACTTGTAGGCCTGAAAGTTTACAAGAATGTTGGTCAGCATGTGTACTTATGCACCTTGGGGTTTGCTTGTGGATTTATTCAGTATTTGTAAAGTTCTTGCCTTTTACTTAGTAAAAGATTCTTAGTTTTCAACTTGTGGCACATGTAGTCAAAAACTTTTTGACTTAGAGTCATAAGATTGGCAGAACAGTGGTGTGTAGGGGCACCCGTGTCCTATGGACACATTTCTAGTTAAACAAAACATCGCTGAATTTCCCAATTACATGGGTATGGGTCATGTTCCCAAAATCCTGGAAAAAAACCTGCATTTGCGGGGACGTAGAAATTGTTGAATTGATATTGGCCTTGCAATTCGTTGGGTTTAAAATCTGCCCGTTCAGTTTGCGTAATAGTAAGCTTACAATGTAAGCCTTATTGTATGCAGATAATATTTTTTTCTTCAAATAACTGAAATGTGGTTTGTTAAGATTTCAATTCATTTAGTCGTGTTTATAAATGACTTATATTTAAGAAAAAAATGCTTAAGTGACATTTATACTGTTCACAATGCAACGCATCTGACTCGCTGAGTTCTAGTTTTTTCAAACAACTGAAATGTGGTTTGTTAAGATTGCAATTAATTTGGGAAGATTTTGATTATGTAATTATGCAAATACTCATCTTGTCTGAAACTATTCAGACATGTCCCAATGTGGCCAAATTAATATCTATAGTTATGTGAGAACCATTTCTAATAATGAATCTCAGATGACCAATCTTGGACCAACATGGCCCTCTAGTGATAGCAGCAATGCCTTCATTGTAAGTCAAAGTTCATGTTCCCTTAACTTGGGCCAGCTAAGTTCATGTTCCCTTAACTGGGACCGGCTTTCCAGGCATGCAAGTGTATGTGTTCAGTCATAGTTAATGTTGGTTTTCCTTGGTTTCATACAAATTGGAGTTAAAAAAAATCTTTTTTTCTAGAAATCAAGATGGCACATGAGACACATTTAAAGAAGAATAAGTACCGGCAGTGGGTTAAGGCAGGCCTAGGCTTGGGTTATCTTAAAGAGGGACTTGTACCATTTTGTGATGACATAGGAAGACAGCAGCACAACTATATTATAAACCAAATACAACAAACAAAGACTCCTCAACCAAATGTACCGTGTGGAGTCTGTCAGATAACAACTCTCCAGCCAGACCATGTTAGAGTCTCAAAAGGGATATGTCCCCTCAAGCAAGATAAATGTAACTGTTGCTTTCCAAATAATAAGACACCATGTCCAAAACAATGTATGTGGTGCCATCTATGACAGCATTATACAGAATCATGCATCAATACCACCGGCACCTTTTTGGAAAAACAGTGATGTCCAACATTGGTCAAAGACCCGTGGAGTATTAGTAAATGTTTATTAATGCTCCCGGGTACAAGGACAAACCATCAGCAGTCGATACCGACTGCACAGGGTTGCTTCATGTTATCATAAATAACACATATTTTCATAGTCATATTGGATGCAATATTACAGGACCAAACAATCTTTTTTCAAAGGTAATACATTTGTACCAGGAATGTCCGGAAAGTTCATATACTTTTTCATTTTTTTTTTTGAAAAAGGCGACATATAGGAGTTACTTTTGTTCGGTGGTGTCAGCGTCGACCTTGGTGTCGGCCCCTAAGGCTTGTCTGGAGCATAACTAAGTCATTATAAGTCGCATTCACTACAAACTTGGTAAGCATGCTTCTTTCAATGACTCAAAGTGCAGTGCTCAAGAATCTCTACCCTCGGTTCCGCATCTTAATTTTTGAGTAATTGCCCTTTGTTTATTTTCATACTTTATTTTTGTCCGGGCCATTTATCTTAAACAATAAAAGCTATGGACTTGAAACTTCATAGGATGATAAATCTCATTAAGAAGAAGTGCAGTAAACAAGAACCGGTACCCTGCACTTCTTATTTTTTGAGTTATTATCCTTTGTTAATGTTCATACTTTATTTTTGTCCAGGCCATTCCTCCTAAACCAATTATAAGCTATGGACTTAAAACTTCATAGGATGATAGATATTACGGTGTTCCGTCTTTGAATTTGGCGTCATTTTTGCAGCACAAAACTGACACACCTTTATTGCCTATAATTGTCGTTAACAAGCTTTTTATTTGTGTATGACATCATAATTTTCACTAAATATCGTGCAATAATATCCTTTGATGTCACAAAATTGAAACAAGAGGTTGCATTAAAATTAAAACTTTAGAAACTTATTATTCGAGTAGCTATCGTCATGAAATCAAAGTGCTCAGTGATTTGTCGATCATGTTGCCATGGTGATTGGCGCTTTGCAAAAATTACTTTTATCATGTTTTTTTAATTCATAAGTATGTAGCAGAATAAATACTGAAACAAAATATTTAATCATGACATATTGATATGACTGTTTATAATATTTTAATAGTCTTGTCTATGAACTTTCCGGACAACCCTCGTATACAGTATGTTAATTTTGTAGAATATTATACTGTATGATTTAGTCTGTTTATTATAAGTATATAAGTATAGGAGATTATAGTTACTTTTTGCAGTTATTGGTTAATTTTTCTTTCATTTTTATAGGGATTAACCTATTACCGCACTAAGGTGAAATTATGCTCTATAACAGAGAAACAGTTTGCAACAAATGAACAATGATTCAAAATTGTTATGCATAAATTGTATTCACAAATTGTGATTGAAGTATTTTAAAGTAACTCTTTTAACGGTTTTAATTCTCAACTTAAGAATTGTGTTTAGTCTCATTGCTGAGCACTGTATTTATGTGAATGTTGTATTCTTGTTTTCTGAATATTAGGTACGGCAGTATCGAAATGAGATTTTTCACTCAAGCAATATGGAGTTAGAGGAGAGTAAGGCTAATTGTTATATTGATGACATGATAGCTGTTCTACAAGATAATAAGGAGCTTCTACATCGACAAGATGCACAACAAGCTGTAAGGAAACTCCAAGATGTAAGTGTATATAATAAACTTATCATATCAGTATGAAATCTTTATAAATTTCCGTTATAAAAATGTAAGATAAGCTCACCTCTAAATTCAGGATAAATTTAGGGAAATTAGAAACAGAAACATTTGTAAAGTTTGATAAATAAGAAAAATAAGAGACATTAATACAACACAGCCTGACAGCTGGTTTTGAAAATAAATAGGATAAGAAGTTAAAGCAAAGGGACAGTTAAGATAAATATGAAAAAAAGATCCCAACTTATACAGTATGTCACATAGAAGAGTAAAATAATACTGTAAATCACAAAGCTGTATTTTGCCTATATAAAATGTAACAAAACTGATTCTTTTTCCTCAGTTGAAGAAGAAAGATTTCATTATTACTTCTGAAAGCTTTGAAGAAATTCTGAGTGAAATCAAAGACGAAATGTCAAAAGTTCTGAAATCAACAGAAAATGCTGCAACTAAAGAGGAATATGATGATCTGAAGAAGAAGCTAAAAGAACTTGAAACCAAAATGTCTGACGAACAGAAGGGAAAACTGGAAAATGAAAAAGAAGTTGCAGAACTAAAGAAAACAATTACTGACCTGAAGAAGAAGCTATTAGAACTTGAAACCAAGATGTCCAAAGTAAACGACGAAAATGTTGAGAATGCAGAATTGAAAAAGAAACTAGGAGTCTTGGAGACTCTTGTTTCAGAACAGAAAGAGGTAAAACAAATTTCCTTCTGTTTGTTAACTAAATGATGTATGTAACAAAAAATACACCTGTATTTGCATCTTTGCATTAAAGAAGATATAATAAAGATTGTATGTTAATTGTAAAGAAGAAACTTTATAAATTAAGTTCTTGTGGCAAAAGTATTAAATCTTACTATCTACTATCTAGCCAATTAACTGGAAAGGCAACCAGATTCATCCCATGTACAATGGGTATGAAGTGTATATAGCTAATAATATCTGCTGCAAAAATATTGTTTGAATTTTTATTTAACATAACATCATTCTTAAAGGTTTAATGTAAGCTGTGCAGACTTATGGAGTAGGGCACAGTTAGATATGCTTACTCATGGTGAAGGTCACACCTAAAGGTTAAATGTTAGATATGCTTGCTCATGGTTAAGGTCACACTTAAAGGTTAAATGTTATATATGCTTGCTCATGGTGAAGGTCACACTTAAAGGTTAAATGTTATATATGCTTGCTCATGGTGAAGGTCACACTTAAAGGTTTAATGTAACCTGTGCAGGCTTATGGTGAAGGTCACACTTAAAGGTTAAATGTTAGCTATGCTTGCTCATGGTGAAGGTCACACTTAAAGGTTAAATGTAAGCTGTAAAGATCACACTTAAAGAGTAAACGTTCTTGCTTATGGTGAAGGTCAGCTTAAATGTTAAATAATAGCTGGGTTTCCTTATGGTGAAAGTCACACTTACAAGGTAAATCAGATAGAAATGCTTGCTCATGGTGAAGGTCACTCTTAAAAGTTAAATGTAAGCTGTACTTGCTCATGTTGAAGGTCACACATAAGGTTAAATGTAAGCTCTAATGGCTCATGTTGAAGGTCACACTTGAAGGTTAAATGTAAGCTGTACATACTCATGTTGAAGGTTTCCGTTAAAGGTTAAATGTAATCTCTAAAGGCTCATGTTGAAGGTCACACTTAAAGGTTAAATGTAAGCTGTACTTACTCATGTTGAAGAACACACTTAAAGATTAAATGTTAGCTGTACTTACTCATGTTGAAGATCACACTTAAAGGTTAAATATTAGAATATATCATGTCTGTTATGTTAATTCTTACCCCTTGAAGGATTTTCTTCAATCTTTGATCAGTTTATACAATTCAGCACTGAGAAACGTTGACCTTTTGTTATAGAATAAGATAAAGAACTATAAACTTTGATTATCATGTTGATAATTCGGCTTCAAATATGTACCACTTAATAACACAATCTGAGTGTTTAAACAACATTATTCTTTCAGGATTTAAAATCTCACCTGATGGCCTACTTAGCATAAGTGATTAAATGGGGCAATTATGGTGGTTATTATGCTAATGTACATAGTTACATGTACAAAAACAAGTACATACTCTTATGAATTTAAATTTTCATCTTAATTATATATTGTTGACTATTTTTGTACTATAATTATTTTTGAGTAAAGAAGATGATTTGTTTTTGTAGGAGATGACAAAAATTAAGACAGAAACTTCCTCAGGTCAAAGTCAGGCAGATTATGATCAAGCCAAGTTAGGTGAGTTAATATTTGTTTTGATGGTGTACATACAAGTGTATGATAGTGCCATCAATATAAAACAAACAAAAAAAAAACAAAAAACAAAAACAAGGCAATGTGCTAAAACCAATGTTAAGGTCACTCTGGGTCTATAAGTGTATTTTTACCCTTTTAAGATCTTGTCTTGAGGGAATCTTATTATGTTTAAGTTATTTGTAAGTTTTGCTGATTTTATTGATTGCTCAATAAATTCCAGGTTGTCGTACTCAATTGATAGAACATTATCGCAGTGATGTACTTAAAGTATCAGCAATACCTTTACAACCAGATGAGGAAAATTATAACTTCAGTGACGTTTATATAAGACCCACTATAACAATCAAGATAGAAAGGAGCAGAGGGGAGTCTGAGGAAAAAGAAATAAAGTCCATGTCAGAGATTTTCACAAAGAATGGGGAACCACAGAAATTTATTTACGTTGTTGGAGATGCAGGGTCTGGTAAGAGTAGTTTCTGTAAATATTTGATCAACTGTTGGTGTATGGCACACAGTGATGGACACAATGACGATGATGAGTTTGATTGTATGGCACACAGTGATGGACACAATGACGATGATGAGTTTGATTGTATGGCACACAGTGATGGACACAATGACGATGATGAGTATGATTGTATGGCACACAGTGATGGACACAATGACGATGATGAGTTTGATTGTATGGCACACAGTGATGGAGACAATGACGATGATGAGTTTGATTGTATGGCACACAGTGATGGACACAATGACGATGATGAGTTTGATGAAGTCAAGGAAATGAAGAAATTTGATTTCATGTTTTATATTTCTCTTAGACATAACATTAAGATCCGAAGTGTCACAGAAATGCTTGAAATGCGATATGATAAGATAAAAAAATTTAAGTAAAATTCTGGAAAATGATTCTGAAAAGATAATTATTTTGCTTGATGGTTTAGATGAATGGTCTTTTGATAGTGAGACTAGGAATGAGTTCCAGGCAGGCCTTCCCGAACGTGACTTTACAAAGAAATACACCATTGTTACTACATCACGGCCATGGAAAATTCACAGTTTAAGAGTAAGTAATAGAGAGATTCATCAATTATTGAAATTAAAAGGGTTTGATGAAACACATGAAAAAAAAATGATTGAGAAAACAATAACAGCATTGAACGAATCATTAGATCCAAGTGTGTGTGAACAAGAGCTTGGGATACCGTCTGTGGTTGGCCTGAAACAGGTACCAATTATGCTGCAGCAATTAATATGTCTATGGTGTGATGGTAAACTAGATAAAACATCAAGGTGTGCTATTTATACTGGTATGTTAGAACTTTATTTCACTTGGAATATCAATAAAACTTTAGGAAATAATACAGAATGTATGGAAAGTTCTCAGAATGTTGAACTCCCTCAGTATTTGACAGATGTAGAGATATGTAGATTAAATAGTAATCTTATATATGGTGTGTCACGCTTGGCTTATCAGACACTGTTCAATTATCCAAAGGATAAGTCCTTAACATTTGACAAATCTGTTTTTGATGATTTGAAAATATCACATGAAGTGCGTGAAAATTGTCTGAAACTGGGGATATTGACAGAAGATAAATGTCCTTCTTTATCTGTATCCAAGCCTAAAAGCTCATTGTTCTCTTTCATTCACAAATCAATGCAAGAATTTCTGGCTGCAGTGAACATTGGTATCAATTTTAAGATAAGAATAAGTTTGTCAGATAGTACACAAACAGAAAATGTTGATTTGTCAAGCCAGTGCATTCTGTTTGTTAATGAGGCTTTTCAGAAATGTTCAACAGTAAATGACATATTAGAGCAGTCAAATGTTGTCATAATGCTATGTGGTCTTGAACCTAGATTAGCACCACATGTTTCAAAATACATATATGATACTGTGTCAGAAGACTCTTGTGTTCAGGAATACAGGAGAACAATAAAGTAACATTAGGAGGAACTATCGTTGTATTACTGATATTCAAAAGCTTATGTTTGAGTCAATGGAAGAATTAAATGCAACATGTAGTATAGGAAGTAATCCTGTATTTTATGTAGGAGATTTGGTCATTGATAGATGGAATCAGTATTGTGATATTGTTTGTACAGGTATTGATCAGAAACAAATTGTTCCTGATTCTATTCTGTCTATTAATGTAGATGACATCAACACAAACAATGTTAAATTTACAAAATATTTACCAATGTTTCATCATCTTGAAAAAATTGCAATAAGATATGGATTTGAATGGTATGAAACTGAATTACAAAGGTTATCACCAAGTTATAAACAGAAAATAATTGAGATAAACAATTTGGCTTCTGAGACAATTAAAGTAAACACTTCAACATTAAAATCTCTGACTCTTGATGGTACCAGTGACACTAACAAGCGGTATTACCCTGTGTTTAAAACAGCTGTAAGTTACCTACCTAGTATGATCAATCTTGTAGAAATAAGAATGAGTTTTATAACAATAAGTCATGATGATACAGCTACATTTTGTAATTTTCTTGAGAGAACCAGTTATCTTGAACAAATAAGTCTGGAAGAAGTTAAATGTGAGTGTGGGAAGCAGCATGATGTAAAATTATCAAAGCTTAAAAAACTTCAGTACCTTTATTTGTATGATGCTGTTAGTGTGATAGATGCTGATGCTACAAACCTTGAAATATTTGAATTTGATAAATTGAAAATTAGTAATTGTGATAAAATATTTGATATTATTAGAAAATCTAACAAATTAAAAAATCTTAAATTGTATGGAGAATATAACAATGAATCTCAATTATATCATACCAACATAACAAAGAGACTAGTCAGTGTATTACCATTGTTACACAATCTCAGTAAGCTTGAGTTACATTGGTGTAGGTTAACTGACAATATAATACAGTTACCTTTAGAGATGAAGAGTTTAAAGCACATTGGGCTTTTTAAAGTAATAATGAGTTTGACAACATGGCAGAAGTTTGTTGATAGTCTTCCTAGTTTTCCTCATACTGTAGATGTGAGTGTAGGTTACAGTTATATAACAGGAGATGGTGAGGAGTTTGATGTTGATGGGTCAATATTGACATTTCTAGGACTTACAGGAGGGAAGGGAAGGGATGCTAAACAGTATATAAAAGATAAGGATCAAATATTTCATGTTAAATGTGATGATTTTTGGTTTGAATTTTCAACAAAAAAGGGATAAAGTATCCATGTAGTTAACATAGTGTTAACTAAATTATTCCATGTTAAAAGAGATGATAAATTTGCTATTTTTTTTTCATTTTCAACACAAAAAGGATTGAAATTTTAACATATAGGATTCATGTAAATTAACATAGTGTTTAATCTAAATTATTTCATGTTAAAAGACACAATATATATCAATTTTTTTATATTTTTTTCATCAAAAAAGTGATACTTATGACAAGTAATTTGCATACTGTTGTAAAGTTAGAGAATAAATATATGAGCTGCCTCATGACAAAACCAACTTAATGGGTTTGCGACCAGCATGGATCCAGACCAGCCTGCGCAGTCTGATCAGGATCCATGCTGTTCGCTTACCAACTCTACTACAAGAAGAGAAACTGATAGAGGATAGCATGGATCCTGATCAGACTGTGCAGATGCTCAGGCTGGTCTGGATCCATGCTGGTCGCAAACGCACTATGTTGGTTTTGTCATGGCGCGGCTCATATTACATTATAATAGATATAAATCATCTGAAATATTGAGTTGTTAAATTTTGCTTTCTAGTCATTTTAACATTTTTTTTAAGTATTTTTAATATTGAAATTTAAGAAAGTAATATTCAGATTTTGTTTATAGATAAATAAAAGAAAGAAATGCAGTGAAATATAATAGACAATATTGATCTTAATAAAGGTAAAGGTTATTTTTAAAGATCATGGACAGTTTGTGAGAGAAAAAAAAACTGATTTGAAAAAGTTATGTACTAATTATAATGCATAAAAAGATATGTAAATAAACAAGTAAATAAATTAATGAATGAGTACTTTTAATGAAAATATCATAAACAGATGTTTAATTAATGTAGAAGATCAGAAGAAGTAAAAGATTAATGTAATTGAATAAATACCACTTATATGATATATGGACAATGGAATGGTATATAAAAATACCAGTTATATGATATATATGGCAAGGGAATGGTATAAAAAGATACATGTTATATGATATATAGGACAAGTGAATGATATTTATAAATACCAGTTATATAGGACAATATTTAGGACAAGAGAATGGTATAAAATATACAAGTTATATGATATATAGGACAAGGGAATGGTATATATAAATACCAGTTATATGATATATAGGACAAGGGAATGGTATATATATAAATACCAGTTATATGATATATAGGACAAGGGAATGGTATATATAAATACCAGTTGTATGATATATAGGACAAGGGAATGGTATATATAAATACCAGTTATATGATATGTATGGCAAGGGAATGGTATAAAAAGATACAAGTTGTATGATATATAGGACAAGGGAATGGTATATATAAATACCAGTTATATGATATAATAGGGCAAGGGAATGGTATAAAAAGATACAAGTTATATGATATATAGGACAAGGGAATGGTATAAAAGGATAAAAGTTATATGATATATAGGACAAGGGAATGGTATATATAAATACCAGTTATATGATATATAGGACAAGGGAATGGTATAAAAAGATACAAGTTATATGATATATATATAGGGCAAGGGAATGGTATATATAAATACCAGTTATATGATATATAGGACAAGGGAATGGTATAAAAAAATACCAGTTATATGATATATAGGACAAGGGAATGGTATAAAAAGATACAAGTTATATGATATATAATACTGGACAAGGAAATTGTATTACTATATATAAATACCAGTTATATGATATATAGGACAAGGGAATGGTATAAAAAAATACCAGTTATATGATATATAGGACAAGGGAATGGTATATATAAATATCAGTTATATGATATATAGGGCAAGGGAATGGTATTAAAAGATACAAGTTATATGATATATATGGGAAGGGAATGATATATATAAAAACCTGGAAACTAAAGTGATCCAACCATATTACAAGAGAATTGCAGACTCGGTTTGATTGAGTCTGTACAGAAGGGATAATGAATAAGTGCAACATCCCTCATGCCCCCTAGCACCGGCTTGAGCAGTACTCAATTCTCAACACTTAATAGTACTGGCATCAATGGTCCCGAAGGACCAGAAAAATATGACAACACTAGGCAACTTTTTACAGTTGCCACACAGCACTTAAATACCAGTTATATAATTGTATATATGAATACTGTGAGATGACATCTAACACAAGCGACTTATATAAATTTGTACATACACGTTTTAATTTAGATAAAGAACAAAAATTTGCTTGTTGGGCCTACCTTCAAAGAAGTGGGGGTATATTGCTTTGTATGTGTTGGCTGGTTGATCTGTCAATAGGTCCATACACCAAACCGTCTATGATCATTACTTTAAAACCAATGGGACTGGGGACTTCAAAACTTTATATGAAGATTGGTCATGGCCAGTAGATGAATTCAATTGATTTTGGGCGTCACTTGGTCAATAGTCAAAGTCAAAATTACGGTTACCTGGTCACATGACTTATTAGCTGGCGTAAGGGCATACATGTTTTTACAAACATCTCTTGTTATATTTTAGAGATTCCTTCTTTATTTTATATTGTAAAGATGAAAAAAATGAATTAAAAAGAAATTATAATTATGCCAAACCATTAATGTGTACAATACTTTAGTATCAATTTGTATAGTTAAAGGGACTATACTGAGGTTTTTTGACATGACAGGGCGGGAATGTATTTTTGAGATGTTTATAAAAATACTATTTGATGAAGGTCTTTGTCAATAACAACTTTGTCAACTAAAAAATTGTTGGTTTTTGCATGAAAGCTGGTATCTCCATTACTACTGTGGGGTGGATTGGACCTTAACATCACTTAATAGGTCACTGTCCAGGTATCATAACTATAGCATCCTTTTAAATGTTAGACAATTCTGCATTTTCCAGTACTGAGTATAGTTGAGCAAACTGTCCTGTCGATAGTACTGTAATTGTTCAAAATGAACAAAAATAAAAAGCATTTAAACTCTATATATAATAACTCAAATTGGGCTAAATCTAGATTTTGATTTTCACTTTAATTCCTAGTATATTTCTTTAGTACTAGTTTTATATATTTTCTGTTTTAAGTGCTCCAATTTATCCTTGTTTGATTTTCAATATTTAGACTTTTGGAGCTCAGTGTGAACTATTTGCTTGTTTTGTTTTAGAATTGTATATAGAAAAACACGGGCTTAATATATAGTATAAACATGCATAACTGTAAATTTACATGTATTAGCATAAAATGTGCTAAACAAAGATATTTTTAGCATATTGTTTGTAGGACTATCTAATTGTATTAAAAATGAGTGTAACCCGTTATCTGCTAATCAAAACAAATTAAACGCATATATGGGTGTTAATATGGTTTTGTTGTAAGTCCTTACAAACAGGGCTTGAAACAAACTTTTTAAAGTTTTATATGGGCTATATACTATAATAAGATATCTTTATATGCATATATAGACCGGTTATGTATAGTATTTGATTATGTGACTAGCGCCTGTGATTAAATATAAACATATACATGTATGATAATTTTGTAAGCATGATAGTATATTGAAATTAGAGATATTTCATATTATTGTCGTCGGATTTTACAAATGCACAAGGTTGATTGTTACGGGCTTACATAAATAAATGTAAATAGTTAAACTTGGAACAGTCTTATGTTATTTGTTTATTTTACTTTTATTTTACTTTCAATAAAGTTATTTAATTTACCACGAAGTCCAAAATGTGTCGTCTGATGTCCGTCAGTCTGTTTTTCTGAGTTGCATAAAAGTTGAAAGACTCGAAATTGCCAATTGGTACCAGTCACTGAGTCTTGCATAGGCCTATTTATTTTAAGTGCTTTATTAATAAGCATTTGTTTGTGGTCGCATCCTGTCTGTCAAGCATTATTCAAAGTAGGCATATTTAAATAATGCATATATGATACAGCATATGTCTATGTCTGTGGTGTGAATTATTATAATTGCATAAGCAAAATAACACAAGGCTGTTATAAAGCTGACTTTTATTATTCAAAAGTACATGAACAGATTGCATAGCGAAGCGGCCTTATATAACATCAGTTATTAAAAAGCCATCCGCATGGGATGCAACAATAATCATATACCAGTTGTTTGCCGCACCATGGGGAAATATATACACGCATACAAACACAACAATAAATATATATGGTCATTTAATGCACAAATCAGTGAAATTTCAATAACTTTACCTTCAATGTCATAAAAGAGCCAAGGTCAATTTGAGTTTGATAAACATGAAGGTTTTGTCCTTAAGAATGTTCTGTTATGATATGAAGTCAATCCATTCAATAATAGCAAAGTTACAGCCAGTTAAAGCCAAAAAAACGTTTCATTATGTTGTGTTATTTGTTCCTTGAGTGCCTCAACCAACTTTTCAGGAATAATGATCAACATCACTGTGAAGCTATTCACCTGGGACAGTGCATGTGGATTTTTTTTCAGTTTTGTTAAGAGTTATTGCCCTTGACTTACAGTAGTATAAATTTGCAATTTTCAACTTGTTCATGCATAGCTCAAAAAGTATTTGACTTGTAGGCCTGAAAGTTTACAAGAATGTTGGTCAGCATGTGTACTTATGCACCTTGGGGTTTCCTTGTGGATTTATTCAGTATTTGTAAAGTTCTTGCCCTTTACTTAGTAAAAGATTTTTAGTTTTTCAACTTATGGCACATGTAGTCCAAAATATATTTGACCTTGAGTCATAAGATTGACAGAACAGAGGTGTGTGGGGGCACCCATGTCCTTTGAACACATTTCTTGTTTTAAATGATTTTATACGTTCGCTGTCATCATTTATTATTTTTAATAAAATCGCACACACTGATTCTATGATCAAGTGCCAACATATTAAAAGGTATCAATAATGACAGCGTATCGGGTCAAAAATCTCATACTTAAATCTGTTAATGAATAAAATGCTAAACAAGGTGCATTGCCAAAAATTTTAACGATATAAAAGCAGATGGGCCATTTATCCTCTATGGTGACATCTCACTTAAAGAAAATGACAAGATTAATGTTATTGTTTCTTGTTCATTGTGTATACTTTCATTGATGTTAGCTGCTTGTCTCAGTTCTGCTGTCTGATTTCACTCAACATGATTTCCGAGTTCAAGTGATTGATGCAGAATGTCCGTTGTTGGGGTTGTAAATAATTGACAGCATGCTTCGAAGATGAAGGTTTGTTTTAATGTAAGAATGGAAATGCATATTAATTCTTTCTTGCATTTTAGTATTATAAGGTTTATCGTTCAAATGCATTTAGTCGTGACAATATCCCAACGCATTTGAACTATACCTGTGCATTATTACAATGTTGGCAACAACAAAGTTCTAAATTAAAAATACTATTCGTAGATCCGTTTAGAAAATCATTTCTTTTAGACAGATTAAGCCAAATGTTTAGAAATCGCATTTATACCATATCATTTCCTGAAATATCTCATTGTGAATGCTAAAGATTTTTTTACAGGAAAATTTAATTCAATTAAAGTTATACACATCTTGCATGACTAGTTTACATACAGTTTTTCTCTGAATACCATTTGCTTCTATTTACTTTACACGGTTGTCGTCTGGACATAATAATTCGCTTAATTAAAATCTGAAGGTGTCTCGGGACGAAACCTTCTTTCAATTAATTCTCTTGGCATATTCCGGAAGTACGGTTGGATTACATAATTGATTTGTGAATAAGAAGAACGTGCTACCTGACAAATGTTTATCAGCCTGGACAAGACATGGAAGTGCAACTACCTTGAAGTCAAACAATTTTGTAGATTGATAACATTTAAAAACTAAGTGGGAACCAGTTTCAATAGTATTGGCTTTTTACACAAGCCATTTGTCAATTTTATCAGCATTCAAACTGGTAAAACTTGTTTCAGAATAAAACTAAATTACGAACATATATACAGTTTAGTATAGCTGAATTTACTTAAAATTATTTAGACAATTTTTTATTCATCATTTACAATTAAATAAACTTTTCAAAGAATAAGTTTGCTTCAAAACTAATAAAATCTATTCTGAATCTAAATTTCAACATAATACAAAACCAACATAAAAATTATGAATACAAAACAGAAAAAAAAATTAATATGAACTTTAATTGGCCTTTGATTCACATTTCAATACAGCAAATGGCAATTTTAAATATTTACAATGTATTGTATATCTACAAATGAAATTGAAGTTAGTTTTGTTATTCTACTATGTCACCTTATCATCGCGCCCTTTCAATGCTTATTCATAGCATAATATGCATTGGTCCTGACATAAAGTAAACATTCATTTTGTGCGAAGAAAACGCCACAAAACGGACTCAAAACAGAAAGATTTTACGAACTCTTAACGCGGGACGATGCTAAATATTAAAACAAACCTTGACTTAAACATTTATTGAGATTTTGCTTCAAAACAAGGAATCTGCGATAGGAACTTAATTTGGGTTCCCTATAAAGAAGATAAAGAGATCATTTTCAATGGCTGTTACATCTTATTTTAAATTCAGGCGTCCATATTGCAGAGTTGCATTAAATCAGGGATCTGACATGTGATTTGAAAAGTTGTAAAACGTTTTCTTTATTCATGTAGGTAAAAATATTTAACTATAAGTCATAGGTTCCTAGTAGCCTTATTAATTTATCTATGTATCTCATTACTAAAGATTACACTCGGTTATTTTAGTCTTTCATAAAAATGTCACATGGAACATTTTACCTATTGTGCAAAGTTTTGCTGTTTTAGCCTTTTTATTGAAGATAATTTGTCATTTCCTTGACTAGTGTTTAAATGAGCGATGCTTGTTTGCGTGGACGGTAGCTTGCACTTACTAGTACATTTCATAAACAGACTTAATCACACTGAACCTGCAACATTTTCATTTTTTTTTTTCGTTTTGAGATTTCTTTAGGGATTCTGTTTTTCTCTATTTTAATAATGTTGTATTATGGGTCTATTTATTAATATGTACACAGAGCGTGCACTTGTAGTATATAAGTATCACAGACACGTGTTGCTAGTTCAGCTATTGTTTAATGACCACTGATTGTTCAAGGTATATATGAGTGGCGGGAAAATAATGGACATGCGCATTACAGTACTAGATAAAAAAATTGCAATATACAACAAATAATACTTGTTTTTTCTGTAACTTACCAATAAAAAATTATACTATTTGAGGCTGAAACACAAACAATTGGTGCTACAATTAAAATCATGCAGATTGATCTAGTTAACCCATTACCATATATACATACGTTTTTACGCAATTTCACCCGATTTTTGTGAAAAAAATACCATTTTCAGGCCTTGAACACTTGTTTTCGTTTGAGAATGTTTTTTTTTAAATTAAGTAATCACATTTTTCGGCTCCGCCCCATCAAATAAATTTTCGACTTGTTAGAGGCTCAAAACTGGTCTCGGTCGACCTTAGGTATAACGGGTAACCATGAAAAGCCATTGACTTTATCTCAATCGATTGAGAAGTTGCAGCACTTTGAAATCACTTGGCAATCTTGAGATGTCCCCTCGTTGGTAACAGGAAATTTAAGAGTGAGCATGCCGTTACAAAGGGTATGGTCCAGTCAACATTTGTGCTAAGTTTGATCAGTATTGAAGCATTTTGTATATTTTCAAAGCAATCTAAACTTGAAAAAGGAGGTTTCAATGAAAACAGCCATTTTTCACAAACAGCTCGTGAATGCAGTCACAGATTTGTAATATAAATCCGTGATGCAGTGTAGTCCAACTAATTGTACTGCGCAACAAGATATTTTGCTACTTTGTGTCTGGGCATTATATATCGCCTCTAAAAAAGAGATTCTGACCCAGATCGAAAATATATCAGAATCTAGCTTTGGCACGTCAATATATTTTGACTATCTAACGCGGTGTATAATGGGTTAAGTCAAAATTATGTGTCTCGTATCATATTTTCATTAGATTTATTTTATACCAACGTAACATATATTTTGTTTTGTTTTTTTAATCAAAGCAAAATGCTGAAGCCATTATCATACTTCATTTCATTGCATTAAGAACAATTATAGGTGGTTACAAAAACGCTATGTCAAGTACACGACACATTTTTGCTCGAAATACAATGTAAAAAATCAAAACAAAATCTATTATTATTAAATGCTTTTCTTTGGTAGGTGAAGGACAATATTTAGTGTTGTTAGGCCTTTATGAATCACGCATGCGCTGTAGAATAGAAGAAAATTTCAGTATGGCGGAGTAGGATTTCTTAAAATTTGAAGAAATTGACGTAGTATCCTTTAAATTTTGTAGCCGTTATGTTATATATTTTATACTGAAACATATTTTATACTTCATGAAACAGAAATAAATTATGTGCCAACACAAATTACAAAAAATAAACAATTAAAAACGAAAGTAGATCTATAGATTTAGCCAATTTTAGGAAAAACTGGGGGAATTCCCACATTAGACTAATTTCAAATCATACAAATGGCAACACCAATTTATTAAGCATTTGTAAATCATGTGTGTTCTCTGAAATCATAATGCATGAGTAGTTGTGCACCTGGGTATGTTCATGCCCTTGATTTAGATTTTTTTTTTTTGCAATAAAATAAAATATTGCAAAAAAAAAAAAAAATCTAAATCAAGGGCAATAACTCTAAAATACTAAAAATATTCACATGAACATACCCAAGTGCACAACTATTCATGCATTATGATTGCCAATATTCAACTTGTGCCGCATGGCAAACAGGACGTTTCGGCCCCAAACCAAATCGGCCCCAGTGGAAAAATCGGCCCCTGGACGTTCCGGCCCTTTTCCGCGAGACGTTTCTGCCCTACTATATAGTACAGACAATTAATAAAATTAATTAACAACAATTAATTTAATTAAAATTAAACAATTTTGACACTTTAATTCTTTAAATAATTATTTATTATATTTTGATCTCTTGAACCATTTGTTTTGTTTGTTTGTTGTTTCATTTTACGCCTTTTTAAAACAGTATTTCAGTTATATAGGCGGGTAGTTTCCTAACCATCGTTCCTGGAGAGTTACACCAGTACTAGACTACCTTTCTCCGCGCTAAACTACCAAAGCATCCTCCGGGTATCGAACCCACGCCAAAGAGGTAACTGGATTAGAAGTCATCGACTCTAACACCTCGACCACGGAGGCGGTCTCTTGAACCATTTAGATATACGTTAATGTTTAGATATACGTTAATGTCTTTAAAGGTGTAACAAACAATAAAGGCAGGTTAATCCTTAATTTATAAAACAAACCACTAAGACTTCTGGATTAAGAAAGTTAATTACAATTATTCCTTAGAAAACATTATCTTTTGATCTTAATTAAACTATACATATATATATGGTATTTTTATGCTCCCGCCATATAATGGCAGGGGCATATAGTGTTACCCTGTTCCGATTCCGTCCTTCCGTCATCATCAGTTTCCGTTCATTATCTTATCCTAGTCATGAAACCTAAAAAGGTAATGTTGCTCAGCATATGTACATGTAGTTGTGCACCTTGGGTTTTGCTTGTAGATTTATCTAGTATTTGTAGAGTTATTGCCCTTGACCTATTGACTTAGTAAAAACTGTTTCATTACATGTATGTTGTGTTATTTGTTCCTTGAGTGCTTGAATTAGAATCAACCAACTTTACAGGAATAATGATCAACATCACTTAATTACAGGAATAATGATCAACACCGTGAAGCTATGCACCTGGGACTTTGCATGTGGATTTTTTTCAGTTTTGTTAGAGTTATTGCCATTGACTTACAGTAGTATTAATTTGCAATTTTCAACTTGTTCATGCATAGCTCAAAAAGCATTTGACTTGTAGGCCTGAAAGTTTACAAGAATATTGGTCAGCATCATGTGTACTTATGCACCTTGGGGTTTGCTTGTGGATTTATTCAGTATTTGTAAAGTTCTTGCTTTTTACTTAGTAAAAGATTTTTAGTTTTCAACTTGTGGCACTTGTAGTCAAAATCTTTTTGACTTAGAGTCATAAGATTGACAGAACAGTGGCGTGTAGGGGCGCCGAATTTCCCAATTACATGGGTATGGGTCATTTTCCCAAAATCCTGGTTCAAACCCTGCAGTTGTGGGGACGTAGAAATTGTTAAATTGATATTGGCCGCTCAATTTTTTGGGTTTAAAATCTGCCCGTTCAGTTTGCGTAATAGTAAGCTTACAATGTAAGCCTTATTGTATGCAGATAATATTTTTTTCTTCAAATAACTGAAATGCGGTTTGTTAAGATTTCAATTCATTTAGTGGTGTTTATAAATAACTTATATTTAAGAAAAAAATGCCTAAGTGACATCTATACTGTTCACAATGCAACACATCTGACTCGCTGAGTTCTAGTTTTTTCAAACAACTGAAATGTGGTTTGTTAAGATTGCAATTTATTTGGGAAGATTTTGATTGTGTAATTATGCAAATACTCATCTTGTCTGAAACTCTTCAGACATGTCCCAATGTGGCCAAATTAATATCTATAGTTATGTGAGAACCATTTCTAACAATGAATCTCAGATGACCAATCTGGGGCCAACATGGCCCTCTAGTGATAGCAGCATTACAGGGTTCTCACTAGGACTTTAAAACATGGAGTCCATGGACTCCCAACCTTGAAAAAGTTGGAGTCCAAAAGCGCGTCGCAATTAATATGTTTACAGATTAGTCATTCAATGCTCACAATAGCATTGCTGATATTTTGAATCTTCAAGAGACTTTTCAAAGTTTATAGTTATTCAAAAGAAACTCTGAACTACATAGTATAATTATTGTTTGTTGTTAATATTTATTATGAAATTATTTCATTATAATGCATCAACACATGGAAATCGTTTTTTTTTTTTTTTTTTTTTTTTTCATTTTTATACCAAATCAAATTTTATTTCTGGTTAAATAAGTCCACTCTAAAGACAAAAAGTTTATATTTGTAAAAAAAAAAACGTAAATGTATATACTGCCAGTAAGCAGCGTTTAGCGGAATGAATAGGAAAATCGTGTACAGCTTCACACAGTGTGTAACAGATCCATCCGATCGACAATTATTTTAGCAAATATATTTCAAAAGGGGGCAAATTTAAGATCAATATTTAAAGATTTAATGTTGATTAAATAATAAAGGAACAATTCATTCGCATGTTTGGCTTGGAAACTGAGAATTTTCGCGAAATTTTTAGGGTTTCTGGCGAACGTGTAATCGCCGATGTTCGGGATCAATTTTTGGATAGAATCTAAATATCAAAGAAAAGCGTATGTGTACTTTGGTTTGTTGTCCTGGCATTTCGGCACAATATCTTAAATTCTTAATACTCTTATAGAAAGTTTTTGCAAGAATGAAAATAAAGCAAAATTTGGCCTAGAAAATGCCGAAAATATTCGACAATCATTCAAAATACACTCATTTGTAATTTGAGAAAACAGGCGGCGTAAATAGTCGATAATTTTTTATCCTTTTGTCGGTAAAATTTGCTAATTTCCAAATCAACTGTTGATCAAAGATATAAAATTATCACCTCGTGTTATATCTGGTAATCAGCGCGTGTATACATTAGTCTGATCACTATTGCGTGATAATGATCGGAAGCGTTATCGCTGATTGGCTAATCGCTTCACGGGTCGATGTGCATAGGACCGCCTACCTATAGACTGACAGGCGCTGACTAATTGTGTATTTGTGGTTGTAAACAATCGGTAATTTTTATGCGTCCCCAGGCAAAATTAAGCGTACGTGGAATCCTTGCTCTGAAATATTAGCGTCCAGCTGTAATAAACATGCGTACCGGGACGCCGAAATAAGCGTCCCCGAGAACCCTGAGCAATGCCTTCAATGTAAGTCAAAGTTCATGTTCCCTTAACTTGGGCCAGCTAAGTTCATGTTCCCTTAACTGGGGCCGGCTAAGTTCATGTTCCCTTAACTGGGGCCGGCTAAGTTCATGTTCCCTTAACTGGGGCCAGCTAAGTTCATGTTCCCTTAACTGGGGCCAGCTAAGTTCATGTTCCCTTAACTGGGGCCGGCTAAGTTCATGTTCCCTTAACTGGGGCCAGCTAGGTTTCATGTTTCCCTTAAACTGGGGCCGGCTAAGTTCATGTTCCCTTAACTGGGGCCAGCTAAGTTCATGTTCCCTTAACTGGGGCCAGCTAAGTTCATGTTCCCTTAACTGGGGCCGGCTTTCCAGGCATACAAGTGTTTGTGTTCAGTCATAGTTAATGTTGGTTTTCCTTGAGTACATACAAATTGTAGTTAAAAATATTTCTTTTTTTCTAGAAATCAAGATGGCACATGAGATACATTTAAAGAACAACAAATACCGGCAGTGGGTTAAGGCTGGCCTAGGCTTGGGTTATCTTAAAGAGGGACTTGCGCCATTTTGTGATGACATAGGAAGACAGCAGCACAACTATATTATAAACCAAATACAACAAACAAAGACTCCTCAACCAAATGTACCGTGTGGAGTCTGTCAGATAACAACTCTCCAGCCAGACCATGTTCGAGTCTCAAAAGGGATATGTCCCCTCAAGCAAGATAAATGTAACTGTTGCTTTCCAAATAATAAGACACCATGTCCAAACAATGTATGTGGTGCCATCTATGACAGCATTATACAGAATCATGCATCAACACCACCGGCACCTTTTTGGAAAAACAGTGATGTACAACAGTGGTCAACAGACCCGTGGAGTATTAGTAAATGTTTTATTAATGCTCCTGGGTACAAGGACAAACCATCAGCAGTCGATACCGACTGCACGGGGTTGCTTCATGTTATCATAAATAACACATATTTTCATAGTCATATTGGATGCAATATTACAGGACCAAACAATCTTTTTTCAAAGGTAAATACATTTGTACCAGGAATGTCCGTAAAGTTCATATACTTCTTCATCTTTTTGAAAAAGGCGACATATAGGGGTTACTTTTGTCAGTGGTGTCAGCGTCGGCCTTGGTGTCTGCGGCAGCGTCAGCCCCTAAGGCTTGTCTGGAGCATAACTCAGTCACTATAAGTCGGATTTACTCCAAACTTGGTAAGCATGCTTCTTTCAATGACTCAAAGTGCAGTGCACAAGAATCTCAACCCTCTTCATCTTAATTTTAGAGTAATTGCCCTTTGTTTATTTTCATACTTTATTTTTGTCCGGGCCATTTATCTTAAACAATAAAAGCTATGGACTTGAAACTTCATAGGATAATAAATCTCATTAAGAAGTGCAGTACACAAGAACCGGTACTCTGCACTTCTTATTTTTTGAGTTATTGCCCTTTGTTAATTTTTTTTGCCCCCGCCATGTAATGGCAGGGGCATATAGTGTTACCCTGTTCCGTCATTCCATCCTTCCGTCATTCTGTCATTCCATCATCATCAGTTTCCGTTCATTATCTTAAGAACGGTTGCACACATTCAACTCAAATTTGACATATGGATATGTCATGACAAAATACAGGTCAAGTTCGAATTTGGTCATGGTTGGATGATTTTTGGCAGAGTTATGCCCCTTTTACTTTGAAAATAATATGAAATTTCAGTTTCCGTTCATTATCTCCCCAACGGAACAACACATTCAACTCAAACTTGACATATGGATATGTCATGAGAAAAATACAGGTCAAGTTTTCGAATTTGGTCATGGTTGGATGATTTTTGGCAGAGTTATGCCCCTTTTACTTTGAAAATAATATGAAATTTTCAGTTTTCCGTTCATTATCTTCCCCAACGGTACAACACATTCAACTCAAACTTTGACATATGGATGTGTCAAAGGAATGCGCGGGTCAAGTTCAAATTTGGTCATGGTTCAATAATTTTTGGCAGAGTTATGCCCCTTTCACTTTGAAAGTAATATGAAATTTTCAGTTTCCGTTTATTATCTCCCCAATGGTACAACACATTCAACTCAAATTTGACATATGGATATGTTTTTGGAATTTTGCCCAGGCCAAGTTCGAATTTGGTCATGGTTCAATGATTTTTGGCAGAGTTAATGCCCCTTTCACTTTGAAAGTAATATGAAATTTTTCAGTTTCCGTTTATTGTCTCCCCAATGGTACAACACATTCAACTCAAATTTGACATATGGATATGTCTTTGGAATGGCCAGGCCAAGTTCGAATTTGGTCATGGTTCAATGATTTTTGGCAGAGTAATGCCCCTTTCACTTTGAAAATAATATGAAATTAACAGTTTCTGTTCATTATCTACCCAACAGTGTTACATATTCAACTTAAATTTGACATATGGATATGTCAAAGGAATGGGCAGGTCAAGTTGGAATTTGGTCATGGTTTGATGATTTTTTTGCAGAGTTATGTCCCTTTCACTTTGAAAATAATATAGATACTACATCTTAGGAATAAGCAGTTTAAGTTGGAATTTGGTTGTGGTTCAATGATTTTAGACAAACTTACCTTTCCTGAATGTTGGAAAAATTTTGAACTTTCAGTTTCAGCGCTCATACTTTAAGCCATTATTTTGGCTACAAATATGCAATATGCTATTTTTAAAAGGTTAAGACTGAATAATTTCAGTGCCTTAATCATTGTATGAAAATGGTTTGTGTTAACATTGAAAAGTTTTAAGGGCTTTGAACTTAAAATGAAAAAAATAATTAATGCACCATCTGAAATTTTGGCTGCATGCGGGGGCATCTTTGGCATGATGACACATTTCTAGTTATACTTTATTTTTGTCCGGGCCATTCCTTCTAAACTTATTATAAGCTATGGACTTGAAACTTCATAGGATGATAATCTCATTAAGAGTGCAGTTCAGTTCACAAAAACTGAAAAGGGGCACTTATTTTTTGTGTTATTGCCCTTTGTTAATTTTCATACTTAATTTTTGTCAGAGCCATTCCACCTAAACTATATGAGATATGGACTTGAAACTTTACAGGATGATGGATCTTATTGAGAAGAAGTGCAGTTCTCAAAAACTGATACTCTGCACTTCTAATTTTTGAGTTATTGCCCTTTGTTTATTTTCATATTTCATTCTTGTCTGGGCCATTTCTCCTAAACTATAAAAGATATGGACATGAAACTTCAAATGATGATAGATCTTATTGAGAAAAAGTGTAGTGCACCAGTACTTTGTACTTAATGTTTTTTAGAGTTATTGCCCTTTGTTAATTATAATACTTTATTTTTAATTATTATACTTCATTTTAGTCTGGCCCAATTCTCCTACACAATAAAACCTATTCAAGCTACATAAATTTTATGTTTAACAGGTTCAAACATTCAAAAGCAAAATAAAGTTTAAAGGGGGCCTGTAATTTTAAGAGTGGTGTTTTTAAAAAGCCTAAATTTTAAAAAGAAAATGCCTTTGTGACAGCTTACTGTTCAAAGGCGAAAATATCAAAATGCAGAGTTTTTGGTTTTTTTATAACACAAAAAATACACAATTCATCTACCGAACCAAATTCAATAAAATTATGAACTGTGAGTCTTTTATTTTAACAGTAGTTACATACAACATATATACATTGTCATGGAGCACGTTGACAGCGTCAACGGCATAAAAATTGACTTCATGTTTACCCACTATGCAATTTCTTCAGGTTTCAACAGCCATGGCACCTGTCTGGCGTATAATTAATACACGTTATGTTCATTTAAATTAAAGATGTCACTGGTTCCCATATAACGTGTGAGATGTCTCTCTTTTTCAAAGATTGTTGTAATGCAATCTACGATATTTCGGCCATGCTACTTTTGGTCATCTGGAGCGTTTATTATACGATATACTGTCATCACTGCTTTTTAATCTTATTTGACATTTAAACACAAATTGCCTTTAACAATTTATGGTTGATTTTGTTTTTTTAAAGTAACGATTAAAATCTCAGTAGGTGCCATATTTGCGTTGCTATGAAGTTAAATAATATTACGGTGCTCCAACTTTGAATTTGGCGTCATTTTTGCAGCACAAAACTTACGCACCTTCATTGCCTGTAATCGTCGTTAACAAGCTGTTTATTTGTGTATTACATCATAATTTTCACTAAATGTCATGCAATAGTATCCTTTGATGTCACAAAATTAAAATGAGAGGTTGCGTAAAAATTAAAACTTTAGCAACTTATTATTCGAGTAGCTATCCTCATGAAATCAAAGTTCTCAGTGATTTGTCGATCAAGTTGCCTAGGTGATTGGCGCTTTGCAAAAATTACTTTTATCATGTTTTTTAATTCATAAGTATGTAGCAGAATAAATACTTAAACAAAATATTCAATCATCATATTGATATGACTGTTAATAATATTTTTATAGTCTTGACTATGAACTTTCCGGACAACCCTCGTATATATATGTTTATTTTTAATTTTGTAGAATATTAT